TGGGGGAGGGAGGAAGAGGGAGAGGGAAGGGGTTAATTAAGACGGCGGACGACACCGGTTGGTCGTCGTGACGTCGGAAACGGTGAAGGAGAAGAAGAACATCATAGTACGCACATCGATCATACCATCAGAGAGATAGAGTGTGAGACACAACACAGGCGGCGCGTGTAAACAGAGAATACAATATATATAAATATAAATATATATATATATAAATATAAAGAAACAAAGAAAGAAAAGAAAATTATGGGAGAAAGGTGCAATTGCGAAACATTACCAAGTGTGTCAATAATAAACAACGTGTGTATGGACAGATGTGTGTCAGTGGCTGTGTATTTCTGTGCGAGATACTTGCTTCTGTGACTCTGCGTGCTGCGAAACCTTCTCCCTTATCCTCCTCCTCCTCCTCCTTCTCTTTCCCAAAATTGGGATCTTTTCTCATGCGATACTCTCTATAACTATAAGATAGAACTTCTTTCTTTCCTTTGACTTCTTTTCCTCAAATCCAACGTTCTCCGTCGCACATAACAACACTTCTTCCTCTTCCAGTTGAATCCACGAAAATCCTCCGGTGTATGACGAGGTCTTTGAAACAAACTCTTTCGAACGAATCGTTGATCTCGTCGATCGAAATTCGTTTAATGTCAGTTCTTTTTCTCTCTCTCTCTCTCTTTCTCTTCAAAACTCTTTATAATATTCTACAGTCTATAGAATTGTATTGTAGCTAGGTTCTTCTCCGTGTCACAAGCACCGTGTCATCAAGTTTATTCATCACCGACGGACCGGATCACGTCTTCCCGGATCACGCGAACACAAAATGGTGCGAACACCAGTCGGCTAGCATGTTGCTCTGTCAACCACGTTCGGTTGATAACTCGTCGATCCACCGTCCACCGCGACGATGACGTAGATCCGTTGAAAAAAGAAAAAGGAAAAAGAGGGGAAAAAAAAGAAAGAAAGAAAGAAAGAAAGAAAGAACGAAGCAACGGTACACGAAAGTCGATCGAAAGGTACGATCCACCGGCGGTGTCAACCTCTGTTTTCCACCTCTCTCTCTCTCCTTTCTCTTCTAATCCTCTCCGTGATATCGATAATCCGCCGTGATCTCGACGCGACCAATAATCGCGCAGTAACGTTAGCTCGTACGTTAAATGCGAGCCGAAACGGCGACGGTTACCAGAGAGAGAGGAAAAAAAAAAAAAAACAGAAAGCACACTTTCCTCGAGGTTCAACTGCGTACAACTCTCTCCCCGACGAGGTTGTGTTCTCGCATGCTCGACTCGGCGAACTGAGTGTAGTAGATATACGTACGTGACTACGTATATGTATACGTAGTGTTTCTGGGTAGACGCGAAGGTGGCGAAGAAAAAAGGTGTCTCGTTCGTTACCGTGTGTCCCTTGTTCGTATCGGTCGCCGCCGGTTACTCGGATATATAATAACGCCGTTCGTTCGATCGTGGTTACGCGGGCCGGACAGGAAGTCGCGAAAAAACAGCGGCTACGGAGTCGGTGAAAAGGAGGTTGCGGCCGTGGATGTTGCTTTGTTGGCCGAAGGTCGAGGGATGGAGGATTGAAGGGTTGGGACGGTGGGTTAGTTTAGCGAGTGAGCTGGCTGGCGCCCTCACCAGAACTAACTCCCACGCTGCGCGGCAAGAGTCACCGGGTTTAATACACCGCGCATCTCCCCACCACCACCTCAGACACCTGCCACTCTCTCCTTTTCTCACCTTCGCTCCCTCTTTCTTTCTCCGCCTGCTAACCCGGCCCCGGCCACCCCGTTCGTGCATCGTTCACGCTTCCGTTCCGCATCGAGTCGCGGCACACACCGGCTTACACTTGTGCTTTCTTTTTTTTCTTTCTTTCTCTCCCTCTCTCTTTTTTCTTTTCCCTTCTTTTCCTCCCTTTCTCTCGTTTCGCTCTTCCTTTCCCCTTTGCGTTTAACGCTCGTTTGTTTTTTAACCGCTTCAATGCGAATATGATGCGAGAGGTATATATGTCTGGTCTGGGTAAGGAAGTTTGAATCGTGCAGTTTGGGATTGAACCGAGTAGGCGAGATTTCGCAAGCTTAACAGCTGTTGCTGTTGCGGGAAATTGTTGTTATTGAGAATGGGAAAGGAATTGGACGATCTTGAATACGACAAAGGGGTGTATATTTTGAATTTTGGAAATTTTTCAAAAGTTGACACGTTGAAAATTACGTGACAGTTTTGTAAAAATGTTAAAATGATTTTAGATGTTTTAGGAAAGTCGTTGGTACGAACTTTTATTCCGATATCGAAATATATCTGTTTATTTTTTCATCGCCTTCATTATAATCGTTAGGTTGCTAATTCTGATGTAATGGATATCACATGAACGTATTACTTCATTTGTTTCGTGATTATTTTTCAATCGACTTATTAAGTTGCGTAGAAGTTAATTCCAATTTTTGCTGGAATGATGTTTTACGCTTTACAGCTTTGCCCATTTTATTCCCCGTTATTGTAAAGATGTAATATTCCACAATCGATGAACTCGTGAAAAGCGAGTATTTCACAATTTCGTCTGATGAATAAAAATATTGCAAAAAATTGCTTCTTTTGTTCATCATTTTATGTCTAAATTAAAAAAAAAAAAAAAAACTAAATATCAATCGTACATCCCGAAATTAGAATTCTGAGAGTTATCCAAACGCAAAGAACACTCGGTCTATCGATGTTCGATACTAATCCAAGAATAAAAGAAGCTAAAGCCCGAATTGATCAAAATCGAGTTCCAGTGGAAATTTTAAAGGAAAGCAAAGATCCGTAAAATTCAATTTCCTCGTTCTTTCTTCATCGAATTATACGCGCGTATACGCAGGAAGGGGAAAAATTTACTAACACGTAAGAAATTTGAAGATATTGATCAGCCATACGTTTAGACGTATCGGATAGTCGACCCACGCGAAGGTACTTTCGAGGCCATTAAAAATTCTATCCAATAAACATCTCGCCAGAACTTGATATTCAACGATATCACGAACGATGAATATCCCTTGACAGCTTAAAAGCGGAATATACACGAAATCGTCGACACTTCCATTCACCATTGAATCGTATACGCTCGTTGAAACGGATTTTACAGCTGAAATATGCTTGACACGACAAGTGTGAACGCAAACTGGGAAGATTCGAATGCACGCAGGCCACTATGATTGATGAGCATCCATTCATCGTTGCAAACGCTTTACAAAGTTCAGCAAACCGTTATTTACTCGGCTTTCGCG